TACAACTGACTTACATTTCATTAATACCCTGGGGGCAGTGGACAGGCCAAATGGTAGCGTTCCTGCCCCACCACAAAACGGAGAAAGCGTCTGTGCCCCTCGAATATACGAATGTGGAAGTACGCGTCCTGCAGATCAAGAGCGGCGTACCAGTCCCCGGGATCCAGGGAGGGGATGATGGAGGCCAGGGAGACCATGCGGAACTTGTGCTTCACCATGTACTGGTTCAGGCCTCGCAGGTCCAAGATGGGCCTGAGCCCCCCTTTGGCCTTCGGGATAAGGAAATAGCGGGAGTAGTATCCCTTGCCTTTGAACTCCCCGGGTACCGCTTCCACTGCTCCTAGGCCCAGGAGCTGCCCCACCTCCTGCTCAATCAGAGCCTTGTGCGAGTGGTCCCCCAGGAGGGATGGGGACTGGGAGTGGTTGGGCGGGGAGGAAGTAAACTGGAGGGTGTAGCCCCAGGAGATGGTGTTGAGGACCCATTGGTCCAAGGTCTGCCGTGACCACTCCAGGAGGAAAGCACACAACCGATTGGAGAAGGGAAGCTTTATTGAGGGTGGATCCCTGATGAGAACTGGCAGGGTGCCCCCGGGCATCCCGTCAAAACCGCCTTTTCCCCGCCTGCTTGCCCTTCGAGGACCCAGGTTGGGGGGCAGGCCGAGACTGCCTCTGTGGGCGCCTCTTATAGTCCTGCGACTTCTTATAAGAGGCCTCGTATTTTGGGTGAGTGGCCGGAGCAGGAGTCTGCTGCGGCTTGAACTTAGGTTTAGCCTGAGCCGGAACATAGAGACCCAGAGTCTGGAGAGTCGTGCGGGAGTCTTTCAGGCCATGCAGCTTTGTATCCGTTTGTTCCACAAACAGAGCTTTGCCGTCAAAGGGGAGGTCCTGCAGGGAGGTCTGCGCCTCGCTGGACAGCCCAGAGAGCAGGAGCCATGACGCCCTTCTTATGGACACCCCGGAGGCCATGGACTGTGCGGCCGTGTCCACTGCATCTGAAGCTGCCTGCAGGGTTGCTGTGGCAGCCGCTGTATCCTCCTCCACCAGTGCTTTGAACTCCTTCCTGTCACGCTCATGGAGGGAGTCCTCGAACTTGGGCAGGGAGCCCCCCAGATTGAACTCATACCGGCCCAGGAGAGCCTGAGGTTCGACACCCGTATCTGGAAGCTCGAGGACGAATAAAGATTCCTTCCAAAAGGGTTCAGCCTCCGTGAATCTTTATTTTTCGGGGTAAGGCCGGGCCCTGCCGCTTCCTGTGGTTGACCGACTCAACCACCAGGGAGTTAGGAGCAGGATGGGTGTATAAGTACTCGTGTCCCTTGGCGGGTACAAAATACTTGCATTCCGCTCTCTTAGAGATGGGGGCCAATGAGGCCGGTGTTTGCCACAGGGAATTTGAAATTTTTGCCACCCTTCATGGAGAGGACAGCACATTAAACAGGAAGTCCGAGGGCTCCTCCATCTCCTCTGCTTGGAGGTGGAGGCTTGATGCCACCCTTTTTAAGAGTTCTTTGTGGGCTCTAAAGTCCTCCTGCGGGACGGAGGGAGGCGGGGCCGTAATTGCCTCATCCAGGGAGGGCGAGAAGGCCGGCGTGGTACTTTGAGTGTCCACCGGCACCAGCGGGTCCACCACCACAAGGATGTACGTCCCACTGACTCCTTCCTCGGAGGTCTGGAGAGGGAGGCCGATGGTCCTTCTGATGCTCCAGCCACCAAGTAAGCCCCCACCGGGGGCTTCGTCGGGGGCCATGGTGCCCGGTGCCACTGTACCTGCTGTGGCACCGGCAGAGCTGGTTGTTCAGCTTGGTTGGCCTGGCCCATCGATGGACGACTATGAAGGGAGGCCGGGCTGACATATGACCTGCCGCTGTCCCGGACCGGGAGGAGCGGCGGTGCTGGGAGCGATGCCGACCATGGGACCGTGATCCCAACGTGGAGGACCAGTACCGTCGGTAACAGCTGCTCTGTGATTGGCTCCGACAGGAAGACCCGCGACGGCGGGACGATGGCAATCGACACCCGGGGTTGCGGAGGCAGTGCCATGGCAGGGTCCTGGAGCAGGATGCCAAACGGGAACGACGTTGACGACCATGCCGTGACCGGCTGCGATAACCCCTCCGAGACAAGGACCTTTGGCGACGTCTGCCTCGGTCCCGTCAGTGCTCACTCCTCGAGGCGGAGCGGTGTCGAGAGTCTCAGTCGGATGGAACCCAACCAGACAGTCTGGTGGGCGTCGAGGGCAATCCACGTGGATTTTGCCCTGAACGGTCGCTGGGCAGCGAACGGCGTCGGGAACGTTCCCTCAACCGAGATCAGTACCGAGCCAGGGGCGACTGCGGAGATCCCAGCAGTGGCTTGCCTCTGGAGCGCGGGGCCGACATTGGCGGTGCTCCTGGTACCGTCATGGACATAACATCCTGGGCCGCCTGCAGGGCCTTCGGCGTGGAGGGCATCTGGACATCCGGGGAGGCCTGCTCCGAATGGACCGGGCTACTCCATTTGACTTGAGTCAGAGGCCTAGAGGCCAGTGAGGATCGAGGACTTTCCAACATGGGTCTAGCTTCTGTCCTGGGTTTACTCCGGAGCCATGGCGAAGAAGGCCTCTTTCTAGCCTTCTTGGCGTGCCCCATGGATGGGGAACGGTGCCAACTGGAGCCAGGTGCTCGGTGCCAACTCGGAGCAGTGCGCTGGAGCCAGGGTCAGCACCAACTCCATCAGAATAGCCTGGAGGCTAATGTCCCTTTCTCTCTTGGTCCGAGGCTTAAACGACTTGCAAATCTTGTAGCGATCACTGAGATGGGTTTCCCCCAAACAGTGCAGACAGTCCGCGTGCGGATCATTCAGTGGCACAGATCACCTACAAGTGTCGCACACCTTAAAACCCAGGGCGCGAGGCATGCCCCAGCCCGGGCGCTCTAACTAAACTAAACTAAACTAACTAACTACAGGTACCATACACTGAACGAACAAGCAGTTTTGGGGACGAACTATAGCAAAGCTGGAGCAGAGCAGTTCCGAAGCACTTCACTGGCAGCAAGAAGGAACTGAGGGTGGGGGGAGTTCACAGCGCCCCTTATACCGCGCCATGGAAGCACCACTCCAGGGGTCGCTGGGGCGCTCCCCTACAGGTACTGCTAGGGGGAAAACTTCCGGCACTGGTGCATGTGGTGAGCACACATACCTATTGTGGAATACACATGAGCAATCACTCGAAGAAGAACAGCTCAAGATATGGCTTACAGGCTAGCTAGTGTAGGTATTCATTGTACATGGTAAAGCACCACAAGGATTAATATAATTTTTAAGTATTTCAGTGCCTCTTAGCTTTTCATTAACTGTTTTTAAGGCAATTCTGGATGCAATGGGATCATCCAATATCTTTGGCATTGAGGGCTTTGATTTTTATAGCATTTCTGGCAGTGTATCATGGACTCTATTAGTGTCTTGCTTCAGTCTCTTCAGTGTCAGCATCATTAATACAATCAATACTGTTAACAAAATGGCACAGCTGGAGAAAAAAGATCTAAGCAAGCCCCTGAAGTATTATTATGACTATTCCCAGCCAGCATCCATTCTGTAATCTTGGGAATCAAGGGAAACTTGGAAATATAATAAAGTCATATATTCTGGAATAAGCAATGAATAATTTTGGCTTCCATTTTCCATCCCACCTGGGCTCCAACTAATTCTTCCCATTCTCTTCTAACAAACATAGTTCCATTTATCATTTCCTGGGAAGTGTGCAGGTTTATCTCCATTGTTGTTGTAACCCACACATCTCCTGGGTGTGGTTTTCTGCCCCATCTAGTGGCACTGAGACGAGAGAGTGAGTGTCCGCTCTATAGCCTTAGCTAATAGGCATATTGCGGTGGAGGTTCATGCACTAAGCTCCAGAGGTCCCAGGTTCAGTCTCACCTGCTGACTACCAGAGTGGTCGGTGTTACATTAACATCACTTGACCAAAAGCTTTTCTGCAACAGTTAGGTAACAACACAAAACCCAAAGTCAGAACTGCTAGGTAAGGGAAACATTGAATCCTTTATTGATCACAGGCCTAGATTATATCTATTAATGTGTTTAATGACCCTAAAATAAAAGTATTAAAAATTGTAAATGCTGGTAGATTTACATTTGTAAATTCCTAAACTACTTCTATTTCCTTCTCATCTCACATTAGGGATTACAATTCCTAAATAAGTATGGGTCCAATATTAGCCACATAAATTATGTACCTATCTGGTTTAAAAATCTAGCCCTGTATCTTCAGTTCAGTTTGGAAGAAATATTGGGGCAGGGCATCGGAGATTAGGGTTAGGGCTTCAGAATTTTATGTATTTTGCTTTACCAACATGCAGGGTACTATCCGGGACAGTACACTATTTTCCTGATACCAATGTATAGTAACTGGTGGCACTGGCTTTTTTAAAATTTAACCACTGTACATAATGGTGCACACATATTATGGAACTGAAGTAGTGACTTCCTCGCTAAGGCCCTGATCCTGCAATGTGAAACTTAGGGGGAAACCCCTGTACAGATGAAGTCCTCAATGAGGCTCTGAGTGGGCAAGAGGATCTGCCCGTGCAGATCAGATTGGAAGGTTGGGCATAAGAGTTTTGACTCAATTCTAGACTTTGTAAAAAGATCTCTGTAGATGGCTGCATCATATGCTTTGTGCTGGGCCACAGGAGAATTTGTCTGGGAAGCCTGAGCTTAGACTGGCTTCTTCTGAATTACTGGGCTCTGAATAGAAATGACCAATTTGTCAAGAACCAGAAAATTGTAACATCTTTGTCCATTCATAGCAGCCACCTTGGCTAACTTCAGAGCAGGAGGGGAAGATAATTTTAGCTGCTGAAAAGTGGATAGATTGAAGAAGTGAGGGGAAAGTCAGAGAGGCCAGAGAAGGGGTACTGGTGACAGTGGTCCAGGTGAGGTAGAGCCATGAAGTGATATATTTGGCTAAGAATTATAAGTGTTTGTGTTCAGCATCTTTATCGTACCTCACTTCCTCCCGTGGTAGCGTTATTGCAGCACGCTTGTCCACACGTTTCCTTCTAGCTGAGGGAGCACGAGGACTTGCATCTACTGTACCAACATGTAAAAGAGAAAATTAGACCTCACAATTAGAGTCTGTGAATAAGCATGCTGGTCACTAGGGTCACTTCCATTAAAACTGCATTCAGCCCGGTGGTGTGGTTATGTCACAAATGTACCCATTGGTCAACATCTGACTCCCTGGCTCATGCTGGTTATTATGGAGGCCAGAACAGTTTCTTCTTGAAATGGAAGTTACAGAAAACACTATCATACAATTTTTAAAAAATCCTAAGTAATGTTCAGTGTCCTACTCCATATTTTGGATATCTCTCATTGTGAGTCCATAAAACATCTTAAAGACTAGGGTCACCTGCTGGGATTTAGTGAAATGAGAACTATGTGACACCCACAGATAAATATATTGTGGATTTTCACTGCTCCCTAAGAACAAGAGCGGGGCTTGTCTCAAATTTTTAAATTAAAATGTTTTAAGATAAGAACTTCAAAGGTTGGCAATATATCCCCAGTCTACATATGGGGAAACTGAGGTACAGAAAGGTTAACAGATGTTCAAGGCCAGAAAGAACCATTATGATTATTATGACCTCCTGCATAACACAAGCCATAGAATTTCAGTTAATGTGAATTGCAGAAGGTAACAATCCCACACTAAAATTCACTTATCACATTTTAGGTAATCTCTAGAGACAGGTTTATCTTATGCTTGAAACACGGGTATCAGGGAAAGATGCAGGTTCTATGCCTGGCACTGCCACAGATTTGAGCAAGACCTTGAGCAAATCACTTAACCCCAGTGTACTTAGATGTGTCCCTAGCTATAAAAGGAGAATGGCATGCACTTACTCTAGAAGGGCAGTGGGATTTTGTAAAGCACCAGGATCCCTGGATGAAAGGCATTATAGAGGAACAAATTCAGCATTAGGGGCTATGGTTTAATCCCACAGCATAGGAACCCACAAGTGTAAATCCCCATACACCATTATACAACATTTACATGGACTGGAGGCTTAGCTTGAACTCACATTTCCTGGATTTCCGAAGTTCTTCTCTATCCCATTCTCTCTCTTTCAAGATAACACACTCACGAAGCCGGTCACTAATGTACTCTAGCAGCTCCCTGCGCGCATTGAAAATCTCCCGTTCTGGCGGCAATAATGCGTGGTATGGAGTATGTGCTATCTTCTTATCCTGCAACACACAATTCATACACAATAAGAGGTAGGGAATAGACATCTAACATGGCAAACATGTGCTTCCATATTATTCTTAGCAGGAAGTAAACCTGACTAGATGAAGGGATGCCCAGCACGGGTGTAATAATGTATAGTACCATATCAGCCCTCCTAAATACTAAGTAGCAGTTTCAACCTATGCCAAGGGACAGAATCCCCTCTCCTCTCCGAACACCTGCCATTTTTACACAACACAGTGGAGCAAGCTGGAACATAACATTTTAAAACAATCACATTTAATATTTTGACCAATTTTTTTAGCTGCTACTCTTTTGATTGGGCAGGACTCCCCCAGAGGAGGAGAGGCAGACCAGTGCTCTGAGGTGGTACAGAAACTCCTCTGTCTTAGGTGCCTGACTGCTGTATTTTTTTCACCAGATTTGGGGTCAGGAAGCAATTTCCCCTGGGTTTTTTGGTTTGTTTGTTTTTTGCCTTCCTCTGCAACATGGGGTATGGATTGTGCACTAGGATCCTGCGGACATGTTTTACCACAACAATTCCCTACCACTGCAGGGGCCCTTTGGTGGCATCTTAATCTGTCCTGATGACTAAAAAGCTTTAGTTTAAATGAAGTCATCAGGCTCAACATAGGTGAAATTTAATGCCCTGTGATATGCAAGAGGTCAGGCTAGATGATCTAATAGTCTCTTCTGGTCTTAAGCGCTATGAAACTATGATGACCCAAGCCAGCAATGTTTCTAAACAGAAATTATCTCAAAGATTTCCAGGAAGCATCAGCAGCTCTTTAAAGCAAATAAGTCCAGAGAAAGCAGAATTTCTGAATCTGGCAAATAATTAAGCACACTTTAGGTTAAGGTTCCTTTCATAGAATCACAGGGTTGGAAGGGACCTCAGGAGGTCATCTAGTCTAACCCCCTGCTCAAAGCAGGACCAATCCCCAACTAAATCCCCAAATCCCTAAATGGCACCCTCAAGGATTGAACTCACAACCCTGGGTTTAGCAGGCCAATAATCAAACCACTGAGCTATCCCTCCCCCCTTTCATAAATTTTAATATATTTTAACAGTTAATCCATTGTGCTAGATTCTTCTAAAGTTCAACCAGTCAATAAGTTGCCTACAGTCATAATTTATAACCATCTATAACACCTTTTACTGATGTGCTTCTCACCATCAATAATATATATTACTCATGTCTGTAACATGCTTATAACATCTATCAATCATTCATTAACTCTTTATAAACCACCTGTAAATGGAATCTTAATATAAAGTGTGACCAAATCATTTCTCTCCCATGGCAGAACTACCAGGGCTTTTTAGACCTCTATCACCCTTATAGGGGTTAAAGTTTAGTGGTGAATGGAATGAGTCTCAAGACAACTGGACAAAAGAGAGTCTGCTGGTGCTTTTAGCATCTACCCCGACAAAGTGACAGGTGCAGAACTAAAAAATCTGCTTGTCTCTATTTGTGGATCTGAAGAACATGATTAATATTAACATTAATTTTAAATTCTAGTGGTCAAAGAGATACCTGAAAGTATTTATAATATGCATAGTCTACTACAGTTCCCACTGCAGTTCTCCTCCCTTGGCTAAGAATAATTGGCATCAACATATCTGCACCCGCCTCAATTAGTTTATCAATCTGGAGAAAGAAAAACAAAATGCAAAACAACAAAATTGAAAAACATTATAAAAGGCAGGACCTTCAACCAAATTGTGACCTCCTGTTATAATTAAACTGAAAGGGCTGATCAGCTTACCCTGGTCTCTACTTGTGCAAATGCAACTCTATAAGAACACAACTGAGTGCATGCTTTCTTCACATAAAGCACTGGGTATGCAGATGAAAGACTCGAATGATGAGTTTTCACATGTCCAGAAAGGTTTTGCATGTGAAAAATTCCAACATCCATGTAGGCAATCATGGCCCTGATTTTCAGGGATATCAGTCTCACCCAATCCCCACTTCTGTTCAGGCATCTATGGAAATACTTTTTCATTCTCATTGTTTATCTGTAATCCTCAATGTTACAATATAATTATTTCGGGCAGAACCCACAGTAAAATATATACATTTCCAGACGTGCTGATCAGGGCTATACCAAGAATATGGCTTGCATTAGTCTCGTATGCAAGGGACTCAGGGGAGCCCACAATTCATCTGCATTTTTATTGCCCACCATATCCTGCTTGTGATATGACAACTAGCGGCTGTAAAAATGATTATGGTGTCAAACAATTATGATTGCAAGAGGGGCAGACATCAGAAAGGTGGAATTCCTGCTAGAGAACAAGGAATAAGAAATACAGTGAATGGTACACAGAATTCTACTTATGTAGTTGCAGATTTTTGTTGAGTTTCAGAAGTGTCAGCGAGGATGAGTCACTTCCCAAACTCTTGTTTTATTTGGTTAGCTTCCCCTTGTTTTCCCCCTCCACCTTAGGAAGCACAAAAAAACAATCATCAAAGAACAAAACTAACCTCCTTCCCTAAGGCCTTGTCTACATTGGGAATTTGCTCCAAGCAGTGATTTGCACCACTTGATTTTACCTCTGCTTGAACTGGCGTAAACTCAACTAGTGCAGATTGTAGCTGTCTTTCCCCAACTCTGGGTTTGCACTGGCTATGATTTTGGCTAGAACTGGGGAAAATCCCTGAGGTAGATAAGGCCTAACACTCTCCTGGACCTTGTCCACACTGAGAAAATCCATCCAGTCAACTAACATGATTTTAGTGACAGTGTTAAACACAATTTTCACCTTAGCGTGACAAGGACAGCTGCATTTAAAAATATGATAGTTACTTGCAGTGAACCCTGGATGTGGGAGGGGACCCAAGGTTAACCACAATCACCTACCGTATTTCAAACATGACTTGCCCCTCTATACAGTAGGCAAGTTACTCCATGCTAGTTAAAACATGTTAACATGTTTTCCAACACAGTTCATTTTCCCAGCACAGAATCAGATACAGAAAAAAAAGGAATTGGCAATTGAATCACTGAGTTACTAAGAAAAAAAACCTGCATCACTGAAGGTTACTAGGAGAGACAACTGAATCACACAGAAGAACCAAAATTCAAAACACCTGCTGAAAAAGTTAATTGGAAAACTAAAGTCAAAAACAACATGTTTTCTTACCAATAAAATCCTGTTTGCTATGGTCCTCTTCTGTTCATATGTAGTGTTGACAGCAGCACAAAGGGCACTACCTATACCGTTGCTTAATGGAAGATTGGGGTCAGCGCCATACGCTAAGAGTTCCGTCACTGCCTGCAAACAGGCATAGATAAATATGAGAAATCAATGAATGATGATGTAATCTTAGACAGTTTTACAGCAGGACTATGAGATCCAAAATGTACAATAGCTGTGTCGATACTTTACAGTGTTTAAAATAATATACCTGGAATGCACACTAGTATTTTTCAGTAACCTAAAGGCATAAAGTAATAACATCTAAATATTGGTCTATTAGAATAATTTTTGCACTTTCTTTGTATTGCATTTTTAGCACGATAAAAATCATAGATCCATACTGAACAGCCATGTGTCAACTGCTTCATCGTGTAGTGTTAAAAAAGTCATCTGCTGTTATGCTTTTCTAAAATGCAAAGCCTGTGCACTACCAGAAAAACAGAACGACACAGGCTGTACATTTGTGGCCTGTTGTGCCATTACTGCACCAGACAGATTCATAAAACTCCACGACTTAGATTTCAGATGTTTCAAACATGAGACTGAATTCTGTTATTTTCACCCAAACAGTAGCCGTTATTAGCCCAGAACAGAAGCTCTTCCTAAGCCAAAGGAGTCTAACAGGCCCCTTCTATTCAACTATTTTCTCTTTAGTGATCAGTGCAAGACTCCCACAAACCCATTCTCTGACAATCAAAGGTGTCTTGAGAAAAGCCTGGGTCAGACTCTCTGTCCATGGGCTTTGGTACACTGCATGGACTGAGAGACCAGGGATACTATACCTTGAGCTGAATGAGGCCAGTTAATCAAGCATGATTTCATGTTATCTATCACTTAGCACCTCCCTCTCTGTCTTCTAAGTGGTTATAAATACTGCTTTATCAATTGGCCTAGCAGTGTATTGTAATTAAACTTGTTGCTCCATAATTCCCTGGATCACCTGATTTCTTTTTATTTAAAGAGGGGAATTATGATAGATAATAAATAAAATAATAATATAAAATAATAATAAATGGTTCTTTGTGTCCACAAGGAGCTTCATCAATGTCAATGGGGCTCCATGCAAGCACAGGAATCTGTTCACCCAAAGCCAACTGCATGACTGGGGCCTAGGTTAGTTCTTTTCTAAACTTCTGGGATCTCAGCTGTTCTCATTGGATTCTCAAACAAACATACAGCTCCTTCATAAATCAGTGTCTCCAATACTACTTTCCCTCCCTGAGAACTCAACTACATTGTACAGAGTAGTACTGCATTTGGATTTACATTTACTAGGCTAACAAGTAATGAAAAACACTGCCCACATGCAATGTGGGTGAGTGAATACTGCTATTATTAATGTATTCAGCACTGTAGATTAACCGGTTGTAAAGCACTGTGCACAATGTGCCAAAAAACTGGAGTCCAGATCCAAGAGCTATCTAGGTCATTACATGATCCTTACCACCACAGCATCATAGCTGACAATCTAGCACCAAGTGGACTCAGTACAATATTAGCCAAGACAATAATTACAGTATAAACAAGTGCTATATAGACAATATGTGGCCATTCTACTTGGAAATAGCTAAAGGATGCTAATAAAGTCAAATACTTTTCAGTAGTTTCCTTTGCATTGCTTTGTGCATTTAATTAAAAAAAAATTCAAGCCAGGCAAAGCAATCTTCTTCAGATGAGAATTTCCTACATTGTGCTTCAGGACTTACTTTAGCCCTTCTTATATTAAGAAAATCAAGAGATCTCTATAAGACAGTAAAACCCAAATTCATTCCTTTCGTGAAGTTATTCAAAACTTTATATTAAAATCTAAAAACCTTCCCTTTTCGTTTTATTGCAACTAACAGTTTCTTTTATTAAGCAAGAAAATAAGGAGAAACAACCCCATCAGTGTACACCTCCTGGAGCAACTGTGGAATTTTTTAAGTATTGCCCTATTGTCTTTATTAAACGCAAAATTAATACATGTGCACTTTAAGGAGAGCAGATTTTAGTAGTACTAGTGCGATACTTACAAAATCACAATTAGACCTCCAGTGAATCTGCTAGACTGAATTCTGAAGGCACAAAAGTCCCACAGCATGGGCAATTATAATTGAATGTGTATTCTTACGATCCCAGATTCAAACACACAGATGAGGATGAGGGGGAGGATCCAGGTCAAGAGGAATCATCTTCTATACAGTGGCTGAAATGTTCTCTCTTAAGCAGTTCTTAAAAGTGCTTATTTCCAAGGCAATTAATGCCTGGATAGTGCATCTATATGGAAATTTTATAAAGGGCATGCTCAGTACAACATTTTCAGATGTTAGTAGTTTTGATCATTTCAAACCAAACTGTTTTAAATAGGAACTACATTACTGGATCAGACCAGTGAGCCATCTATTCCAATGTCAAGTCTCTGATAGTGGCAGCATTGGATGCGTCAGAAGGTACAAGTAGTAACTTGGTGGACAGTTACAGAATGTCTGTAGAGGAAGATTCTTCCTAATCCCATCAGTTAGTGCTTGACTTAAACCCAAAAGTATGATGGTTTATGTTCTTTGTAATATTTTCAGGGTATCCTACAGTGTAAGTGGATGTTCTCAAGATCCATATAGATGGATATTCCTTTTTGAATCCTGCTAACCTCTTAGCCACCAATCCATAAAGAGAAATCCCCATTTAATACAGTGGAAAACTCAGGTTATGTCCATAGGTTTGAAAGAAAAGTAAATTTAGATACTTTCATTGGAAATAAACATGGGTCACTCCAACACACAAGCCATCTTGGCTCCTACCAGGGAAGGAACCAAAGTAAAAATTAATCAAGTAAATAAAGAAAAAAGGAATTAGATGATGCTCACCAAGTCATTCCCACTGGCAATTGCCAGGGAAAGGGGTGAATGGCCACTCCACGAGGTGTTAGGATTTGCCTTATGAGTTAAGAGGAGGTGGACAACATCCCTGACATGCTGGGTAGGGGGGAAAAGGTAGAATTAGATCATAAAAAAGAAAATCAAGACATTAAGCTTATGAAAAACAACAGCATTAAACACCTGCTATAAACACATACAAGTATTACTGTCAGGGTATACCCCCCCAAATCTGAACTCTGGGGTATAGATGTGGGGGCCCACATGAAAGACCCTCTTAGCTTATCTTCTACCAGTTTAGGTTAAAACTCTTCCAAGGTACAGTTTTCTGCCTTGGACAGATATCGCTGCCACCACCAAGTGATTTTCACAAATATTCAGGGAAGGGTCACTTGGAATCCCTATCCCCTCAAAATATCCCCCCAAGCCTCTTCACCTCCTTTCCTGGGGAGGCTTGAAAATAAAATACCAACCAGTTGCCTTAGCAATGTGAGCACAGACCAACCCCTTGTCTAAGGACTTTGGAATCAAAGGATTCTTTTAAAAAAGGTCAACTTTATTAGAAAAGAAAGAAACATCTGAAAACTCAGGCTTTAGGGATTCAACACCAAAAATAACTTTCTTGGGGTTCAGCTTAAAGGTTACAAGCAAAACAAAAGTACCTGGGGTTAGCACAGAGTAATCCACACACCAAAACAACCAAAAAGGTTCCTAATCACATCTGTCTTAACTTTTCCTGTGCTACTTACATATCTGGGGTTCCAAATGAGGAGCTTCTAGGTATGATGCTGATGATTTCCCATACCTGGCTTAAAGCTTACAGCTTGTTGCTGCCTTCCCCTCTCTCCAAACCGCAAGACAAAGAAACGCCCCCCCCCACCCACACCCACACAGCAGTTTTTCCAATTTGAAAGGGTACAGCCTCCCTATTGGTTCCCTGGTCAGGTGCCAACTCAGGTTAAGCTTCTCTTAACCCTTTACAGTTAAGGCAATTAGGGTACAGCTGCTAAGGAGGATTCTATAGCTACTGGCTGGCTGGGTGTCCATAAAAGGGAGCTACCCCCCTCATTTATCACAATTACATAGAAAAAAACATTGAAAAAAGAACATTATTAAGGTTGCTTCTTTAACCCTCAAAAGTTGGGAATTGCCAAAATTAAGGTTGTGTGTGCAACCTTAACTGGGCCCCCTTGTGCATACACATTAAAATTCAGTCTTTATTTATATGATCATATGCTATTTTTATCATAGGATCCCAGCCTCATTCAGTGCACATGATGGACACGTGGTAGAGATGAATTAGGGTTATGTAGTGAAGGAGACTGTTGTCTGTAAGACCCCTGCCTCTTTTGTTGCAGAAATTGGAAGATGTGTAGTGAAGGAGGCAGAGGATTGCAAGAAGAGAGAGGAGGGTCTCAAAATTAAGGCAGCTGAATGCTGCCCTGGAGAACTGGATTCTACCCCTGTCTCTGCCACAAGGTTCCTATGTGATGCTGGGCAAGTGATGTAACCCTAACTTTTCACAGGTGGTCACTAAGTGAGTATTCTTCATTTTCCGGGTGCCTGACTTGAGAGCGTGGGGTCTATTTGCAGAAGTGCTGAGCACTCAAAGCTGCAAATGGAAGTCAACAAATGGAGCTGTCCTTTCCACATAGGGAGTGCTGTATAAACCTAAGTGCTCTGAGAAATCAGGTTCTAGTCATCTCAAATTGGGCACCCAAAATTAATGGATACTTTTGACTTTAATCTCTCTGGTGCCTCAGTTCCCCATTTCTAAAATGGGGATAATACCCCTTATCTCACAGGGGTGTTGTGAAACTAACTTCATTAATGTTTGTGAAGCACTCAAATATTATAGTGATAAGTGCCACAGAAAATCCCATGAGGAAATTAATACTTCAGTCATCACGGCGGGGTTTGAAGACTGTACACTAAGTAAGGCCTGGAGCCATAGACCGAATGAGGAGAAAAAGTACTGAATAGCAACTCGCTAAGTAAATATTGTCCATTCTGTACACTCAATGAAGGAGGGGTCCTGTGGAAAAAACAGAATGTGATCGTGTAACTAAAGACTGGTTGCACAGGCAACCTTAATTCTGGCATTTCCTAACTTTTGAGTGCTTGAGAATGCAACATTAATAATGGCATTTTAATTATCTTCTGTGTGTGTAATTCCCTAGCTTTTTAATAAAGCACAATGGTAACAGAAATTCTGTCCTGTGCCTGCAGAGGGACCCCCACATGCATCATCAGCAGAGTTGGAGCCGTTAGATGCACCACACAGACCACTGCCACTTGAGCTAATGGAGTAACTACTGATAGCAGCAGGAAATTGTAATCCTCTATGTGGACCAGCACTACACGAGCATGGGACACTTTACAAGTGGGTTTCCTAAACATTTGGTGAGGTTCAGGGATCTTGGTTCCATCCCGGGCTCCAGAAGGGAGTGTGCTCTCTAGTGAGCATAGGCCCTTCTGCCCATTCCCACCAAGCATGACCCTTTCTGCCCCATCCCCTCCAACCTGTCCCCGTCCTGTCTCTTTGCCCTAGTATTCTCATTCCAGTCCCAGACTCCTTCCCCAGCAAGTCTTAGTCTCACCGTTCTGATCTCCCTGACCCAGTCTTCCCTTCATTCCTTGCACAGCATTCTCAGTTCTTCCCTCAATCCCCAAGCGCCTCATTTCACCTGTCTCTCCCCACTCCCCCGGTCTCTAGGCACTCCCAGTCAAATTTCTAAGCATGGGATTGCTAGAGCTTTTCAAAGAAAAACATCGCCAGAATTTTTTAACATGGGCAAAACCCACTTATTTTTCCCTAGCCTCATTCTCAGAAAAACATGAACCATTTTGGCTGAAATAGTCACTCAGCATGGAAAATTTCAGCATAAATAGTTAAAGTATGGCAAAGTTATGAGCATCTTAAGACAGGGTCTTATGATGGGAAATGTTGGGCAACCTTAGTAAAAGGCAGTGCTGCCAGCCCCACCTGCAAAATAGATACACAAGCACACACATATACACGAAAAAACCTAACAGCCCCCAATTTCAATCACATTTTCCAGAATAGTTCCCCACGTAGCCAAGAATTTGTAACCTATACCAAGGAATCTTGTGCTACGATATAAATCCTTGAATGCAGGAGTTGACAGTGTAAATGCAAAAGGGAGCTCTACAATAGAGGTTAGTTATACAAGAATGGTAACTTTTAAATACTCAAAAGCTTCAAAACAACTTTAGGAAAAAAACAGATTGAAATTCCTGGAAACTAAGATCTACAGTAATTAAAATTCTTAATTATGTATGATTTTGAGAGGATTGAGAGGTAAGGTTAGCTTATTGACTTTTTATTTGTATGTAAAAGCAACCATAAAAAACCTGCCAGGTAAGAAATGCATGTCAGCAAAGCAATCAGCTCCTGAAAGGACACAATGTATTGAACGTAACGCATCCTGGCATAGTAAATGGGACTTTTTCACATTTGCTAAATTGCATAGGGCTAGTCATCAAATGTAATTAAGAGGAAGATAATAGAAACCTTATACCATTTCTACTTAGAGTCTGCTTTAAGGCAAGGCATTAAAAAGAGGTCAAAAGTCAAAGAATGAAGCTACGTGAAAGAATCCCAATATGTAGAACCACAAGATCAAAGCAGCAGGACAGAATATCAGAGGAAGAAAACGGGATATAGTAAGTGACAATGGCTTGATTTTTGGGGAAGGCAGGGTTGAGGGGGGGCGTTAATTAAAAACTTGTTTACTGTATTGGAGCTCTGATAAATTTTAGTGCTAGACAGACCAAAAAAATAAACCAAGCAGAGTTTAAAAGACCCTCAGTCAATCTACCAGGCTAAACACTGCCATTGATTCAAGTCACGTCTACAAGCACCTCACACAAAACAAGTATTAAAATAACGTCTCTCCCTCAAAGTGTTCACAATGCGGAATTTGGCTATGACAGAAGGAAAAGAACAAACAAAAAGGGGCTGGGTCAGGAAGGGCAGTTCTATAAACCACATGGTACAGTAGTTCAGTTAGAGCACGTATGCATCATAATAGAGGGGTTTCAACTTACTCGTTTAGTTCATTTCTTGTTGGGCCACCAGAGCAGCTGGTAGTTGGCCACCCATAGCTAAAATCCCCAGAGCAGCCGAGATCACACAAACTAACGGATCAGACCCTTCCCATAAAAGAGATGAGAGTTTTATTTCTTACTCAGAAGCCACATGAAATCAGATCCTACGGAGGATTCCCCAGGAGGGTACGATATGTCATTTGAGGATTGGGAATTATGTGTATTCTACAGGAGCAAAACCACAACCTAGAGGAGGGACATTCCTACAGTTCCATTGTGCTCCTACCTTGGGGTTATCCTCTCTCTCACAGGCAATATGCAAAGGAGTCCTCCCACCTTCCTCTGGGGCAATACCAGAAGATGAGTAGTATTCGCTAGGAGGTCCAGTTTCATTATTAAGTTTCATGGCAATAATAACTGGTGATTCGGCAGGCTCATTCTGAATGTAAAGGTCAGAAGAAACAGATACACACACTTTCAGTACTGCTTAGAGATAAGCTAATAGAAAATACATTGGTCCAGGAATCCACTGGTCTGGACATTATCTACTAGTCTGGATTTGCTCATTACACCACAGTAGACACAACATAAGCACTCCCCCCATCCTTCCCATTTCCTTCTTTAGATTCAGGCTCCATCTGCTGGACTGCTGTAGCACTGCATCCTGAAAAACATAAAACCCACTGTAGGCCAAGTAGCATTAAGATACCTTTCATTCTAACAGCTACAAACATTGATACACACAGCGGAGAAAACTGACACAAGTAATACAACTGACACTTGTATTACTAACCCTGAGAGCAGAGAATTGAAACTTTAGATAACTCAGGCGTAATCTTTTATGAAAGCCACCTATGAGAAATCAGTGGTCTCTGGCAGACATTTGGAGCACAGCTAAACTGAGATCTACTTCCTAAGTGAATAAATTCTCCCAGTGCTTTTGTACACACTGCTTATGGAAGCTTGAGATTTTAATAGAAGGTTAACTGGTTCCTGACAGTATCCATGTTGCTGGAGACTTAGACTCTACGGTTCCAGGCTATAAAACCAGTGTGTGAAGTTCAGGGTGACTGAAGGGCTCCAGCTGCAGCAGAGTGTTGGAAAAACTGGATGCTTCCAAGGTTTGTAGACTATCATCGCTATGAGCCAAGGGAACTGCAGTCTGGTTAGAATTACAAATGTTCTGTCTAGTCCTATTTCCCTCAAACCATTTTGGCAATTAGAGGAGATGGGGAAATTTTACATGAGTACATCTGCCCACAGGTATAGGTATTTTCTGAGCTCATGGATTCCATTGACAAGAATAAAATAATGGTACCTTCTTGCTTTCAAATCGCAAAAAAAATCTAGATATGTGTCAACCAAGCCACACAACCATGGCCTAGGCATACGTTGCTCTAGTAGACAGGCCCTGCTTCCACAGGAGTGAAGAAATTCTGGTGGCCTTAAGGTACAGAGCTGTGCCCCATGCTCCTACTTGCCGATGTGCATATATCACCACTGTCCATTTGATCTCTCCATGTGGAATATGAAGATGCTGCTGGGAAATGTTTGAAGAAGGACTTCAGTGACAATACCATCAGCTTTGGAGGCACTGTCAGTCCTCAGTTTTTGTCCTCTGGTCGGGAAGAAGAATGGATGGATTTAGAGGTGCTGCATTGCACTGGGTTTGTATGTGTTCAATGCTACCATGAGTAAATACTGCAGACACTTGGAGGCAAGCAGCTGAGTAGAAGGATTAAACCTGTAATTTTAGAAGTGAGAATAATGGGAGTGTTACCAGTTGAGGTATCTTAAAAAAATCAGCTCAGAGATTAATAAATGCAAAGATGATACAAGGCGTTTTTTGTATTTTTGGTTAATTAGAAATCAGGTTAGCACAGGTTACTGGACTATGTAGAAAGGAGTTTCCTTTAAGTAAGTTTTCAGCAGCAAGTCATCCAGGTAACACTGGTGTGAATGTACTCTTTCTTCATCTGGCCTATCAAGATCGTATCGGAGTGGAGAGCAGTATAGGATGATATTCCAAATCACATAGACATGAATGGACAACTGCTTCCTCTTAACTGGACAGGAAAATGGTGGCAACCACATCTCATGGGGAAGGATAAGATTCTTGAAATCTACAAAGAACAATGTGGAATATTTTCTCTTCCAAATCTCCATTCCGTTACAGATATAGACTGAACAAGGATAGAATCTGCCCGTCTTCTATGGACTGTCATCAACCCAAGAAGACACATGGATCAGGTTCCAGAGATGACACTGGGATTATGGCTCCTGTGATACAAGGAATTTATTTCTTTGTTTTTACTATAACTTCAGTAACTGAGAGGCTAGAAGGAAAAGAAGCAAATTCTCTAAGGTGCTCCTTTTAGTCCTATAGTTAGAATGCTCCTGTCTAGATGGATTTCCCAGAGGAGAAGGGGAAATGTTCAGGTTTCTCCTTGCTCTTAAGGATTTCTAAACCAACAAAAATAAACTGTGTTGAGCCTCTGTCCTGCAGAGTTGAAAGAATACTTCCCAACTCCAAAAGAACAAAATAGCCAGACTGACTAACAGCCCTGGCAAGATGGTGGTATGAACTCACAGGCCCGTATCTTCTGTATTGCTCTGTGGAGAACTACCAGTAGGCCCATTAAGGTAGCAGGGGAAATCCGGTCACTGCAAAGCACACAAAGAGGAACCAGAAAGGGGAGAATTTAAGCTTGCTTTGTCTGCATCTCCCAGCTATTGGATGGTCTGCGGGCACACATAGGATGGCAGTAGGGGATAGGCCAGTGGTTCTCAACTGGGATACATATACCCCTGGGGGTACACAGAGGTCTTCCAGGGGCTACATCAACTCATTTAGACATTTGCCTACTCTTACAACAGGCTACATAAAAAGCACAGGCAAAGTCAGTACAAACTAAAATTTCATGCAGACAATGACTTGTTTATACTGCTCTATATACTGAAATGTAAGTACAATATTTATATTCTAATTGATTTATAATTATATGGTAAAAATGGGAAAGTCAGCAATTTTTCAGTAATAGTGTGGCTGTGATACTTCATATTTTTATGTCTGATTTTGTAAGCAAGTAGTTGTTAAGTGAGGTGAAACTTGGGGGTATGCAAGACAAATCAGACTCCTGAAAGGGGTACAGTAGTCTGGAAAGGTTAAGGGCCACTGGGATGGGCCACTCTTCTGCATTGCTGAGAGAAGCCAGTAGAAGGTGTGATAGAATGGCAGGCTGGGGTAGCCTGCACTGACACACCCACATGGTGGCAGTTTGTCCACTGACATAGACAGCTGGCAGTATGAGCAAGTTCACTTGCTGCATTGCTGAGGAAAGCCAGAGCAAGGTGTGCTGAAATATTGGTCTGGGCTAGGCTGCTGGGACGCAAATTCAGAAGGAGTCAAAGGGAATGGATATTCAGCGCATAGGGTGCTCAGGATGACCTAACAGGAAGGTCAATGGATTCCCAATTACTGGAACTTAAATTTATTTAAAGTTGTCAACAATTTGAGAAAGAAACCCCCCCACATACCCTAAAGCACTCTGCTGTGGACAGCTGTACATCTTAAGCGTCGTTTCTGCTAGAAAAGCTTTGCCAGTAAACTTTCCTAGTGCTCATACCAGCAAAAGAGTGCTTCTGCTAGCCTAGCGTATAATGTTTCCCTGAATGAAATAAACTGAACCATCAAAAGCACTTTTTTGCCGATATTAACAAATCCACACTAGGGCTTCCACCTGTATAAAAATGTTGTTCAAAAACAAAATCACACCCCTAACCAACACTGATATACTGGCAAAAGCTTCTAGTATAGCTCTGACCTAATGCTGCTCTGGGGTAAGAGCGCAGTGCTGCAGGGGTCCAGCAGGAGTCTGGATTCAAGAGGAAGGAAGAAACAATTAAGCTGCCTCCATAGTGCTGAAACAAGCAGATTCAGCCCACAAAGATGTTTCTTTCTGAGGAATAGTGATTATAGGCTCAATACTACAGTTGTACTTCACCTACATCTATTCAATTGTATGTAACAGACTTCTAGCCTGTGCCTAACATGCATCAGGATTCTACAATAGTGTCTGGTACCTCAAATCATAAATAAGTGTTGTTGTAACCCTCTATGTATGTCAGTGATATGCCAGGTTTTTTCAGAGGAAGTGCAATTATTCCAACAGTGTACAGAGGTTTCAATCCAACAGGCAGGCAACCAATTCCCTGCTCTGGTCTCCCATAGCCCACACCAAAACAGTTGGAAGAGGATGGAGTAATGATGCAACATACCCAGTCTGGTGCATATACATCATCTTCGTCTCCTGCCCTTGCATCGGGATCTGTAGCTGAATGAAGGATTAATTCCGTTATCTTGACCCCTTCTTCACCAGGAATGGCTACAGCAATATGAAGAGGCATTAAACCTCCCAGCTGAAAAATAAATGTGGCATTAAGACTCTTTTATCTATCACAAGTAACTTCTAAAAACTAAGGTACTGGATATTTTTCCAATATCAACCCTCAGGCCCCATTTATGTTAGCCTAGAAATAGAATTAAAGGATTGTGTTTATGGTCAGTTTAAATGCTATTTGGCTTAATACTCCCCAACGTCCATTTCACCCTAAACCCACTGTGATCACGAATATTCCTGGCATGACAGCCACAGGCAATGCCCAGCCAAAACAGAATATGATACAGCATTAAAACCACTTTTACATCACTAGTTTGCACCAATATAAGATGCAAAAGGGAAGAGAGCCTATTTCTGGCCCCTGACTCATAAGCCAGCACACACTGATGGGTCACATGCATTGTCTTGTGAAACATTGTTTGGAAGTCTGCAGAACAATCCCAGCTTGGTGACAGGTTCCATAAACACAGGAACCTCAACACCTGCTGGTGCTACTGCTGCTGGGACTCTATTCTGAATCATTTAAGTTCTCTTGGACTGAGTCTATAATGGACTTCCAGGAAGCAATGGAGAAAGCCAGGAGAGCCTTCAGGCCCTCTGTCTGACACCTGTGAGTAAATCTCACAGCACAACCAGACAAGACAGGTATGGCTGTTGAATCCTGAGACAGTCTGCTGGGCTGCTGCTTCTCCAGACCCTCAGGGTACTGGTGTCAGGGCAGAGAGGTATCCAAAAACTCCAGCAGGAGCTACAGGGCAGGCTTCAAAACTGGAAATAATCATACTGACGTCCTATGTAAAGTGCTTTGCAACCTACAAAAGAAAAGCACTACATAAAAGAGTTAGCTATTATTACACTATTATCCACAGACTCCAAACAAAATAAGATGGAGCTTTAAAACGGAAGTGCTGACAGCTAATGCACTAGGAGGCAAAACAGGACACTCCGTAATGAAGTGTATATTTGAGGTGAAATGAGATAATGATGTCCAGGTAGAGCCTGTCAAGCTAAAAAGCCAGGGGAACTTCTTCACTGACTACAGTAAGAAAGTGATAGGAAGATGGAATATAAAGGGGGCAGCCACATTTCAGTGCAGGAGTTAGCGTAAGATGCCTTCTGCTGAAACAGTTGGTATGTAACTTTGATCCTGGGGAGTTCCCATCAGAGCCATATGCAGGCGCAATCACCAAGTGCAGAGATTTAGCACGAACTGTATTTTTAGAGAACAGACTATGAATGCATGGCATGCTGACCACTCAAGAGTCATTTCCCAAGTAAAGAGAAATCCTAAAACTGAAAGCAGAATAAATATTGGGAAATAAAGTTGACTTTTGAAATACTCTCAGCTTTAGTACCATGGGTAAGCATTATGTCAGCAGGGAAACATACACATAGAACTAGACTTTCGCTAGAGTAAGGACATTATTTTTAAAAAGCTAAATGATTTTAATAGGATAGTTTCTTTGAATTACTCCTTTGGAATTGCAAAGCTGAATCAGGCAGTCGAACTGTCATTAGAATTATGATACTTTACACGTGGGCATTAAAGCTGTATCACTGATCACTCTAGAACAGAGGTGGGAAAACTACGGCCCGTGGGCCGGATCTGGCCCGTCAGGGCTTTGGATCCGGTCCGCGGGATTGCCGCCCATGGCGCCGTGGGCCCCGCGCCGCTCTCAGAAGTGGCCAGCACCATGTCCCTGCAGCCCCCGGGAGGGGGGGCAGAGGGCTCTGTGCATTGCCCTTGCCTCCAGGCCCCGCCCCCTGCAGCTCCCATTGGTCGGGAACGGGGAACCGCGGCCAATGGGATCTTCGAGGGAGGTACCTGGAGGCGCGGCAAGGGCAGCACACAGAGAGCCCTCCGCCCTCTCCCTCCCCCCCGGGCCACAGCGATTCCTGGAGTGGCACAGGGCCGGGGACAGGGCAGGCACGCAGGGAGCCTGCCCTGGCCCCGGTGCGCACCGATGCCACCCCAGAGCCACTTTAGATAAGCGGCGCCGGGCCGGAGCCTGAACCCCTCCTGCACTCCACCCCACAACTCCCTGCCCTAAGCCCCCTGCCTGCACCGCACACCCTTCCTGCACCTCAACTCCCTGCCCTGAGTCCCCTCATACGCCCTGCACCCCTCCTGCACCCCAACCCCCTGCCCTGAGCTCTCTGCTGCACCCCTGTGCACCCCAACCCCCTGCCCTGAGCCCCCCACCACACCCCACACCCCTGTGCACCCCAACCCCCTGCCCTGAGCCCCCTCCCGCAATCCGCACTCCTCCTGCACCCTGCCCTGAGCCCCCTCCTGCACTCGGCACCCCTCCTGCACCCCAACCCCCTTTCCTGAGCCCCCTCATACACCCCGCACCCCATCCCGCACCCCACACTCCCTCCCACACTCCAACCCCCTGCCCTGGCCCTGCATACAATTTCCCCACCCAGATGTGGCCCTCGGCCCAAAAAGTTTGCACACCCCCGCTCTAGAATATTACATTTGGTTGTTATTAGTAATTATTATCCATTACCCTGGGTGGAAGTCGTATGTCAGTCTTTGCTCCTGCTGCTAATAGTAGTTTCACTGCTTCTACATCTGCAGCTTTAACAGCAAAGAATAGGACATGCAGAGGGATCCGGCAAACATTGGGGTCTGCACCTCTGCGGAGAAGTAGTTTGACCGTGGTCCATCTCTTTCGGTGTCTAAAGTCAATATGGCAAATAACAGAATAAGCTGTCAATAACTCATAAAAAGGGACATATTTGTAAACACTGGCTCTTAAGCTGACTTGGGCTCAGGGGCTGTTTAACTGCAGTGTAGACGTTCGGGCTTGGGCTAGTGCCTGGGTTCTAGGATGCTGTGAGGCGAGTGTGCAAACTGGTACTTGGAACCAGGGAGAGAATGTCTGTACCACTCCTTGTGAGATGTAATGTGCACCACACAATAATCCTATGCCATGCAGAGGGTGTGGAGGTAACATGGCCTATCTTATACCAGCCCCTTTCAGTACTGTTGAATCCCAGGGGGCACAAGCCAGGAGCAGACCCCATACTCAGGAGACCCCAGAAACTACAAATGTATAAGATCCCTGCCTGGGAGTGGACAAGTGAGGTAAGGGAAGGTTACTTGCATCTTCCACACCTTGCACATGTGAGTCATAATCTGGCCTATACGAGTTTGCCCTAAAAAACTGCAGGACTAATTTTTCCCAAACAGCAGATCCCGACCCACCAGTGGGTTGCAGGAAGGGTCTAGATGAGTTGCAGGCCTGGTGCAGAGGGGAGGCCCTGGGATGGGTGAGTGGAGAGGGTCTGAAGACCAAGCCCAGCCCACACTCACCCTGCAGCAGCAGCTCCTTTCCCTCAGGGCTCGGCCCAGCTCCTCATTCTGGGTGTTGTGACCTGGCACCCAGGGTCACAGAGCCACTCACTCAAATTTGGCCTGGCCACCCCCCAGCCCATCATGACAGAGAGGCAGCTGGGCCAAACTTGAGTTGTGCTGCAACCCCAATCCCTTGTTCTCCAACCAAGTGCCTCCCAGGGTCTCCCCTTTGCACGGGGCTAGGAAGAGGGCTGCGGTGCCAGGATGAAGGGTGCTGCTGGAGGTGGTCAGTGCCCCCTCAGCAAGGCGAAGAGAGGAGGTAGTGGAGAAGAAGGATGCTGGCCTGTGATTTTGGGGGATTCCCTCCCCCATGAATTTGGGCCCTACGCACGTATCCAGTTTGTCTGTGTGTTCATCTGGCCCTGGCAACATATCCAGATTTTTTTTTAAATGGGTGCCAGGCTGTGACAGCAATACTCAATATAGCACAAACTAGTTTTGCATAATACAGAAATGTTTTTATGAAGGTAATATAGAATTACTATTACTGTTGCACAGTACAGGTTTTTTAAAATAGTTTATTTTTACACACACACACACACACACACACACAGAGTATATATGTAAAGCTGAGTCACAAAGAGAGACAAAATGGTGGGTTATCTTATTAAAAAGGTTTTAAGTAGTGAAATTCAGGCCTTCTCCCTGTCAGGTAAGGACCCGTGGAATGCCCCTTGATCAGGCATGCCCAGTTGATTTATCCCAAGCAAATGCAGGGTCATTCTTCCCTGCAAACATGTAAAACTACACTTGTTACTTTCTCTGTGAAATAGGGTTCACCAGAGCTTCTCTAACCTTTCCAGAACACAGAGCCAGTGGTTTTTCTTTGTAGCACTTACTCAGATATTGATAACACCATTTTTCTCACGGTGCCTTCAGCCCCACCATATCCATTGACACAGGCATAGAAGGGTTCTCTCAGCAAACACAGGCTGAAGGCATCTGCACTCTGCTGCAAAGCTTCTAGAGAAACCTCGATTCCATAGTTGAAAACAGTACGGTTCGACTCAAAGTTGGTTTCAGTGCTGCAGCCAGTCCTCTTTTCTAAACTTGCACGGTCCATTTCATCCAATGCATTTCTATCATCAGAAACAGATTCTACCTTTTCCCCGGACATAGGAGGTACCACGGCTGACTGACGAACAGGGCCTGTTAAGCATTTCTGTTTTGCTGGTGCCAATGGAAGTGGTGCAGATTCATCTTCCAACTGCTCATCCTTATTTAAAGTTTTAAAAAAATTAAAATGACAAAAATGAAGAAAATATGGAAAATCCTTTCTTCAACAACGAGAATCATCATATCAGCATCAGTGCTGGATGTCATCATTGTGCGTGTATACAATAGTACTGGAATTTGGTATATTACAGCTAAGTTAAGGTAGAACATCATTTTACTCAGTCTTAATCCACCATTCACGGGAAACATTTTGAATAGTGTGTGTGTTTGTTTTTTTAGCCTCCATTGTCAATAAAACCCTCTTAGGAGCTTTCAAATCTCAATTGGTACTCCCTCACTTTATAAAAGCTCCGAAACAGAAGGGGACATTTCTTGATTTTCAATTTGCACATCGGCGTACAAACTAATGAAGACCTAAACCTAACGCTAAAGCTAGAATCTGAAAGAGTTACATTGAAGTTTTCTGGGTTTGTGCTGAGCCCTGAGGGAGAGAGAGACTAGTGTACATTTTTTTCCGTCTCCCTTTCTTGCAGCAGCCAAGAGACTTTTGAAGTTAATGGGAATCAGGTGCTTAATCTGTCTAGGCAATTTTGTAAATTATTATGATTAATTATTTGTATTGCCATAGTGTCTAGGACTCCCACTCATGGGCCACAACCCCCTTGTACTAGGTGCTGTACAAAACACAGAATAAAAGACTGTCCCTGCCCCCACTGAGCTTACAAATCTAAGTCCCACTAGGCACCTATTTATCTGTATCTTAAGGCACCTAAATACCTTGGAAAAACTGGCCCAAAGTCTCTGGTACTAATGTGACACATTGACTCCAGAGTAGCCCTGGAGCCTGATCCTGTGCAGTGCGAGCTATCAATGGAAGTCAAGGGCACTCAGCGACTTGCAGGGTCAAGGGAGGTAACAGCAGTTTGACTTTTCCCAACTGCTGGAACATTCACAGCAAAGTAATTTTAAAAAGCAGACCTGTGGCTCATTTGAGGACACGGTGAATTCTGATTTTACAGTTATAGATTAATAATGTACTGACCTCGTCTTTTTTAAAGTTCCTCTCAGCAACATTAGCCTTAAATGATTCTACTGGGTAATAAAGAATAATGCACATGGATAGGGCTGATAATCCTTCATCACTGCATTTATTCACATCAGCTCCATTATCAAGAAGAAGATTAATGATGTCGTCATGGTAATTCACCTGTGAAGTAAAACATTTGGATGACTGTTTTACGAGTATATGTGTATATATACACAATTTTAGTTTTCCATGTGGGATTAACTGAAATCACAATTGGGTTTAAAGTTAAAACAAAAAGACAGTCACTAAAGACAGACTCAAAACACTATTATTGATTTCAGTTGTTTTGTGATTTCACTTTCTCTTCTTTTTATGCCAGTGCTGAATTTTGCCCATAAATTAACAGTGATCTCAAAATGTTTCTACTGCTTCAAGGTATGTCTTATAGTTAATGGGGAAGGCTGGCAGAACCAATAAAAAAAACTTTCAAAAAAGGTAAAACTATTTTAGGTGCACCCAATGTAAGGCAGGTGTATAATTGCATTTCTTCCAGAGCATGGCTTTTAATGGCACAAACCAAGAATTAGATGTTGGGTTAGCGGTGTAGCCACTATCACAGCAGCAGCATCCGGAGATGTCAAATGAATCCATTTACCATTAAGATAATAAAGAGGGCAGTCCATGACTGGATGGCATGTTGAGGTACACAAGGCAGCTAAAGAAGCCCCAACAGTAAAGATATAAGTGAAACCGCCCCTGATCACAATGTATCCTATTGTAACAAAGAAGGATCTTTCAGTTCATATGGTTGATCTGAGGGGCATCTGAGAGCTGATCCAGAGAAACTATCTGCCAAGAAATGCACCATTGATCCAAAATATAGTCCCGCACTGCCTGTTGCCGCTGGTCCTTGGAAACGTTGTGGCTGATGGACTGTCTGTAATACACTGAAGTCAATGGAGTTTCACCCACTTACATCAACTAAGAAATCTGACCTGTTAAACTGGAGTAGATACTATTGGTGGGCACTTCAACTTGTCTTACATTAGCGAGCTACCTGAGAAACACACTTCATTTAAATAAAATATTTTTCATGCTGACTTTTAAAAAGCAGAGAAGACTTAACTGTTGCAAAGCACACTATAATGGAACTCAGGAATCAAATACTACAATTCGCTGTATTAATACAACATTTTGGCAGTGAGGATTTCAAAATCAAAACTGTCAGGATATTCAAAGTTATTGTTGCCAGAGCAACTATAACTCTGCCACATTGCACACACTGTAAAGGGCAACAGTTTATGTGCATTAGGTTACATTTTGTCCTCAGATATATGCTCAATTTTGACTTTCTGTGTTACAGTGGACAAGTCACTTAACCCCTGTGCCTTCAATACTCTCCCCCCGAAATCTACTGTACAGTCACAGGACTGCTGGGGGAAGAGGATTAATGTCTACAAAATGACTAAAGCTCATGGGATGAGAGGCCTATACAAAAAGAGAAAAACTATAATGTTCTAAAGACTTTAAAAAAAATCACTAGCAAAAATCAAATTAATTTTTTAATAGATGTAAGGTGCCCAGAAGGCTAGGCACTGATAAATGTTTAAATAAGGAGCCAAATTCTTCCCACAGATAAACTGAAGTCATGCATACATCATAACTTCTACCCACAACCAGACTGTAACCCACCCCACCCCCCACACACCCCCCAAAAAACAAAAAAAACAGATCCCTTCTGGGTTTGAATACAGTCTGGAACAAGAAAACAGGGGAGAAAGGCAGGGGGCAGTTTCAGGGATTTAAATCCAGCCCAGTGCAACACCCAAATTGGAAGGATTTAGAATTTTAGGCTTGGAGTCATCTTTAATATTACAGAGGGATACATTTTACAGATTTTTTTTAGCATGTTGTTCAGCAAGCTGTCTTTCCTTAAAGATGTTTGCTATTGAGTCTCACGCATTTACTGAATAACAGAGAGAGACAGATGCAGTAGCAATAAAAAAAATGGTCATTCACAGAGGGAAGAGTCACATTTGGGGTCTTACAGCAGCAGCAGCAAGTGCAGTGTATCCATGCGTGTCAGCTACATCTGGATGAGCTAAGCTGTCCCTCAGAATCTCATAAATGCTATTGAAGTCTCCTGCTGCTGCCTTCTGAATCAGCTGCTCTGAAGCAAGCTCTTTGGGGCCCTTGGGTCCAAAGGTGTCTCGGCTTCCATTCAGAATGATGTTGATATCCCAACTGATCTCTGTTTGACAGTGCCTCAAACAGAGGAAAGAGAAAAACATTAAACAGCTGGAGAGTCCACATTTAACGTAAACAGCTATGCAGCAGATACCTGTTATACCACAGAGCTTTTTTAAAAAAAGCCACTGATAATAAAGATTATTGTCAGGTAACATGGGAGAAGAAGGATGGCAACCATTTAAAAAAACTATTTCAGACCATTCAATTTTGCTCCCATCATGGATAGAGCATAAGGGAGTTAAAATGGTCCAAGAGCTGTAGTATGGGGGACATTAATCTTATTCATGGAAGGGGTTAAAAACATCCAGCCCCAAGAATCTGGATGTTTGCAAGTGAAAATTAAATACCAAGCTCTCCAAGGTTGAAAAAGGCCACATGGTGTGCTTAGAACAGGGGTCGGCAACCTTTCAGAAGTGGTATGCCGAGGGGTGCCGGGTGCAGCAGGGAGCTCAGGACAGGGAGTTGGGGTGTAGGTGTACAAGGGAGCTCAGGGCAGGGAGTTGGGGTGCAGGAGGGGTGCGTGGTGCAGGCAGGGGGCTTACGGCAGGAAGTTGTGGGGCGGGGTGCAGGAGGGGTTCAGGATCCGGGGTGGCAGCAGCGCACACCAAGGCCAGGGCAGGCTCCCTGCACGCCTGCCCTGTCCCCGGCCCCGTGCCACTCCAGGAAGTGCTGCGGCCCCTGGGGTGGGGGGGGCAAAGGGCTCCGCATGCGCTGCCCTTGCCGCGCCTCCGGGTACCTCCCCCGAAGCTCCCATTGGCCACGGTTCCCCGTTCCCAACCAATGGGAGCTGTGGGGGGCGGTGCCTGGACGCAAAGGCCCGGGGGCCGCAGGGACGTCAGGCTGGCCACTGCTGAGAGCAGCGTGGGGCCTGCGGCGTCACGGTGGGCAATCCCGCAGGCTGAAACCAAAGCCCTGAGGGGCCGGATCCGGCCCGCAGGCCGTAGTTTGCCCACCCCTGCTGTAGCATAATGGAGTCCCCAATCTAGGTTGGGACTGCTAGGCATTCTATAATGCAAATTAATAATAATGATGTTTTTGTAGGCACATACCAGGACCTGAGTTGATGGTATATTTCAAGGAAAGAGGTTTCCTTTAGGTTAAGGAAGTGAGAGAGGAACATGCTGTTTGTTTCACAAAACCTCATTTGCAGTTTGTCAAATGACTTTCTAAACTTAGTCATGGACAGTAGAAATTATTCTGTGAAGCATGACTTCTGTACCACAACTTGTGCTAAAGATGATCTTTGCAATAGTCTAAAAAGAAAATCCCATATATATCCCAACAAACACAAATCACACACAAAAATCAATAGCTACCTGTATTTATAGATGTGCTTCTGCATTCTAACCATTAAAGGGCTTGTGTTTTTAATAGGCCATGGTTCTTCATCATACAACTTTTTGTTGTTCTGAAAATATTGGGAATCAAACTCTTTACGGAAGGTGCGAGTCAGGGGAAGGTGATCTGTATCAGTTGAGTATATGTACATTTTTTCAGGCAATGTGTAACTGTCATCTAAAAGGAGAAGTTTGTAGTTGTAGAAAAATGGGTCCTGTTCCTCATTCAGATCCCAAAATGGAATTTCCTCATTAGAAAGATACTCTCTCTGGGAATCAGCATCAAAATAGCTGTAGTGTTCTGGGTAATCCGAGAGACAAAAATGTCCAGGTATTTCAGTACACAGTTTAATTATGTGATTCCTGAGCCACAAGCCAACATCTTGAGAGCCATCTGGATAGCTCTGAACTCCTGGTCCAAATCGCTCATCAGCCTTGTATAGTCCCTTAGGAGAGCAATAGGTTTACTAGTATTAGAGAAGACATATAGGTCAGACATACTACACAACTTACAGCCTGGCTTCCATTTAAAAGGTGCAAAACCAAATTTCCTTGGTCTGACATTACTGTTCCAGTGTCAATTGCCTATTGACATTTAGAGCAATCTAAGCACCTGACAAGCTGCTCAACTATTGTATTCACTTTGATTGGTCACACTGGAACTGCATTAATGGCAATACATGAAACCCATTGGCTGAAGTAAGGTAGGATGGGTGGCTTCACTGAAGGCAATGGAGCTACAGGTTTTAATTAGGACCATTGAGACGCTTTTATTCACTGTTCAAGAATATTCATACAGCTCAAGCTTTATTCTTACAAGCATTTGCAGAAAGTTAATTTCAGCCTTTTGTAGCTTTGTTTGTTTCATCAAGAAACCAAGTTTGTTTCATGAGTAAGTGAAATTAGTTTGCAAAGGAAGCAGTTTATGAAGATTAGGTCATTCAGAAATACTGTTTGATCTGCCACAGAGCTCAGGTATCAAGCCCTCTCTACACACTACTTGTCACGAGCAGTTGAGGAGTTGTTAGCTCAAATACACTCATAAAAAACAATTCACTTTTGAATTAAACAAGTTTGTACAGATTATGATCAGTTTGTGGACAACTTGAACAGAAGGGATCCGTTCTCTGACTATGCTGTTTGCAATAAGTAGTTCTACCACCTCTAATAGAGTCAACCAGACTTGAAAATTTTCAGTCATTTCATATCTTGACACTTGAAACCTTGCTCCCCTCAAGTCTACTCAGAACATTGTTGCTAAAGTCATCTTCCTGGCTCATCACCCAGACCTGATCAACCCCCTCTCTGAGTCCCTCCACTAACTCCCCCTTCACCTTCACATTAAACTCGCTTAAGTCAGATCCCCAGCTGATGTAAAATAAGCATAGCTTCATTGGCTTCAGTGGAGCTACACGGATTTACAACAGTTTGGGATCTGGCCCCTGGTCTTTAACTGTAAGGTTCTTCATAACATATAGCCCTACACTTCCTAGCTCATTTACTAACCTATAGTGCCACTGATCCTTGCCTTTGCTCCACCAGCATTCCCAGCTTTTACTATTCACGAGTCAGTGTCTGCTTTAAAACAACTCCATGTTTCCTTTCTCTCCCACTGCCCCTTATGCCTGGGGGAAAACTCCCTGAATAAATCTGTAGGGACACTACCTCATCCTCCTTGTGACTCCCCTCCACTGTGATGCCTCAAAACCCAGATTGCTCATCATGGCTCTGCAGCTGACAAGCTGTGACTATCCCTCCTTCCCTTCTTTCATTCCCTTACGTCCTTCTTCCCTATCTCTATCCCCAACTTAAAAAGAAAATTACAATCCATGTAGCTAACCAAGCTGGGCCAATTCTTCACTGGATTCAATTGCTGGTATGTTGTATCCCCATCCCCTACCCTTTGATGTCTTTCCACCTTCAGGACAGGTTTTGTCTCTTTTCTAGGTCTGTATAATACCCAGCACAACGGGAGCCCCGATCCCAACTAAGATGACCAGACATTTGTTAAGCCTACTAGTGGAGATGAAAAATACTAGTGCTCGCTATCTCACACACACATCTCTGCAGTTTAAAGGATCACCCATCGTGTAAGACTGCCAGTCAATTTTCTATTTAATAAACTTCACCTGCCTCGTGTGTTTTTGGGACACCTTCTGTCCCTGCTTGGCTTCACTCCTCTTTCATTCCTTCTGTGCATCTTGCTGCACTGTTTTGTGTGCACACTGTTTCCTCTCTTCCTTCCTTCCCACTCCGCCTCCTTACGTCCTTTCCCTTTTCCTTCCTACACTGGGTTCAGTCCTCTGCCTCTTTACATCTGTTGTGTGTCGTCTTCCCCAATCCTCCCTCAAATATTTCTCTGCTCTGTAAACGCATCCTCTCAATCACTCATTTGCCCATATTGCCCCCGCCCCTTACCACCTCTCCACCAGCTCCTGGCTTCCCACTCCCACCCATGCAGATAACAGTGGCAGCCTGGCCCTCTGCTTCCCAGCTCACCTACATTGGCTGAAAAAGAGAACAGCAACATCTACTCTGCTCTCCTCCTGCTCCCTCAACAGGAAAACGAAAACAATACAGACACCTCCCTCCCATCAGGCCTTTGCTGCCTGGTCGCTTCCTTCTTAAAGGAGCGTAACACCAGGGCCACTCTGCTCCTAGGCTTATCACTACCTTAAGAGACAAGAACCTGCAACTCCAGCTGTCCTGTTCCCTGCCCATCAACAGACACACTCCACAGTGGTATTTGCCTCTGGCACATGTTTTTTGAAGCCCTGGCTCAATTGAGGCTCCTATCTTTGGTCATTTCTGTACAAGGCATGAATTCAAGCAACTACTTTAGAAGTTTTAAGCTTCTTTTTTTTTTCTTGTTGGTATTTTATTACCAGAGTGCAAGTTTTAGCCATTAATGATCTGCACATGCTTCAGAAACACATTACAGCCTTCACACCCAAGCTTCGTGGGAAAGCCACAGAGACCATGATGGCAGCACAAACTTATATTCTGTTAGTGCTATCAGTCATTAGAATACATTCAATTTCATCCTGTTACCTGATAGTTTCTGCCATCCTGGAATTCCATGGTCCCATATCCTTCTTTATGGCTAAGATAAAATGAACCGGTAAATTTGGAACTGTCGGGCCAAAAATACATCCCCTTGCCATGGCGATGGTCCTTGTAAAACTGCCCCACATAGCTCTGTAACGCACCAAAAAAAGAGGAAAGTGATACAGCTGAGGGAAGAGAAATAAGTGGCTTGTAATTGTTCCTCACTACAATGGAGCAATACTAGAGAAGACGCCCACACAAGATCTTGATATATACAGAGTGCCTAGCCATTATGCATTTGGAAAACTGGCCAAAATCCTGGTCCCATTGAAGCCAATGAAAAAACTTCCCTCAAGTTCAACTAGGCCGGGATTTCACCTATTATTTTTCCAGTGACATATGGTAGCGCCTGTAACTCCCAACAGTTTAGAAGGAGATAAGTCCAAATGTCCACACATTCAAGTGCCCCAAGTCACAGCGAGACACAGAGTAAGCCAGCAGCTATTTAAGCGCTCAGCAGCTGACCCAGCCCTTGTGTGTACATATGAAATAGGGAGGTATTGAAGTTGCAGTACCAGGGAGATCCAGAGTATCCACAGAAACGTATGTTTGGCTTAAAATCAGGTGCACACGCTATACATGTATGCCCAGTTGCAGACCAGAGATGGGTCTGCCTGGAGCAGCTGTCTCCCACTTACCTACTCTAACCCAAAGAAGCCCTGTGTTGAAAGAGACATCACCCCAGGCCCTTCATCCTTCACTGATCTCACCCTGGCAGGTCAGTCATCCATCCATCACCCCGTTCTCTCCTACCAGATTCCCAGGCCACTAACCCCTGGAAGAAGGAGTCTCTGCTCCCCCACAGCTATTCTTAGAAAGCCCCAGGTACACAGTTGACCCTGAATCCTATTATAAAGTCTGACAGTCGGTTCCCACTGGAGCTAGACTAAGCCAGAGGGACTTGCTGGCTCCCTCTAGTGTGCAATCCTGAGAAAACAGCCCTCTATACCTCCAGAGAGCCCAGTCTAACAAATGAAGTGTGACTTGGTGGGTAGGACTTGCACCATAACAGCTGTTAGTCAAGGTAATACATTTTTATACACGGATACATATGAGAGGGAGAGGTAAAAATCTGGTTACAACTTTAACAGGGAATCTACCTATTCTTCATAATATAACCACCATATTTTAAAAAAAACCAAAAACCTAATTGATCCTTCTCATTTTTGTAGGGGGATAAACCTCAATATTGATGAAAAATGATTAATGAAATTACAATATATAGAGCTTCCAAATTTAAGTTTTAACTGATTAAAAAAAAAACATAATACAAAAAAAGCCAACATCAATGTTTATTGGATAAACATCAGAATAACACCAGAAATGGTTACTTAATCACAGAAATGTAGGACTGGAAGGGATCTCGGATAGCTTATCTAGTCCAGTCCCATGCACTGATGCAGGACTAAGTATTAGACCATCCCTAGCAGGTGTATATCCAACCTGTTTCTTAAAAACCTCCAATGATGGAGATTCCAATACCTTCCTAGGTAATCTATTCCAGTGCTTAACTATCCTTACAATTAGCAATTTTTTTCTAATGTCTAACCTAAATCTTCCTTGCTGCAATTTAAGCTGACTACTTCCTGTCCTGTCCTCAGTGGATAAGAAGAACAATTTATCACCTTCCTCTTAATAACAACCTTTTACATACTTGAAGACTGTTATGTCCCCTACCCTCAGTCTTCTCTTCTCCACACTAAACAAACCCAATTTTTTCAATCTTCCCTCATAGGACATGTTTTCTAGACTTTTCATCATTTTTGTTGCTCTCTTCTGGACTTTCTCCAGTTTATCAACATCTTTGCCGAAGTGTGGTGCCCAGAACTAGACACAATATTCCAGCTGAGGCCCTATCAGTGCTGAGTAGAGCAGAAGAATTACTTCTCATGTCTTGCTTACAATACTCCTGCTAATACATCCCAGAAGAATGTTCGTCTTTTTGCGACAATATTACACTGTTGATTCGTATTTAGCTTGTGATCCACTATAACCCCCAGACCCTTTTCAGCAATACTCCTTCCTAGGCAATCATTTCCTATCTTGTATTTGTGCAATTGATTATTCCTTCCTAAGTGTTGTACTTTGCATTTGTCCTTATTGAATTTAAGGATGCCCCCTCTCCCAAGGTAATGAGTCCCCAATGGAGGTTTCTGATTACATTGTTCTGACAGAATCCCTTGCTGAAGAAACTACAGGGCAACATTCATGATTACCACAGATGAAACTATGTCCAAAGGGAGCTAATAGGAAGCACAGATAAAGCCCCATGTTCAAGAACTAAACCTTTCAAGCCTGCAGAACTAATTGCACTATGAACAGAGAGAGGGAGGGTCCAGGCACAAAACTGCCTTTGACAGTAGCATCTGCAGGAAAAGGAGAAATGAGAAGCAGATTTGGGGGCAGGGGGCTTGGGTTACCTCTGCTGGAGACAGTGAAAGTGATTCTGTTGTGCTGCGGTGGTTAATCCTACAGAAGGCATTCAACTGTACAAAGAAAGGAACAGTGAAAAGAAGAGAGTTGAGAAAAGGGCTAAGATGCAGCTGAAACACAGCCTAAAGAACAATAGAGAAACAAAGGTGAAATTCAGTGCTAAACTGTATGCACCCCTAGGCCAATCAGGAGATGAGTCCCAGCCCAAGGACCCCAAAAAAAAGCAGAGTATGGAACTGACCATGCAAGGCTAAGAGTGAAATATCTCAGCAGACAGCAAGTGAACAGCCCAGGGGAAAATGAGCATCTAAGACTGACAAAATGGAGTGACCCAGTGAAGCACAAGAAGTGTCCAAGAGCAACCAGGGAAGGAGCAGCACAGCAAGTCTGCCAAGAGCAGAGACGGAAAAGAGCGCTGAATGGCCAGAGGGAACGGAGCATCTGCAGGCTGATCTCAAGGAGGGGACCTGGAAGGCCAAGGTCACTTAGAGAGACCATAAGAGAAAACAATTATAACTCTGATTTCATTCTTTACTCTCCTTGTTCCAGAGAAAGTGTTAATAGGTAGGTCAATGTTCCCAAATTCATTCCTCTAAAAAGGGCCAAAGCCCTTTGGGAAGGCTTCACTTTGTACATTTATGGCCAGTGGAAAGAAACACAGATGGCAGCAACTAAGACTTGGATGGGGGGTCTCATATTAAACAACACCTTTGCTTCGTGCTTGGAGGAAAGAGGAAAGATGGTATTGAACTGTTCTTACTAATGTTACATTTCTTTCCTTAAAGGAATATATTGCCACTGCGGTTTTTATAGCCCAATGTCTCAAAGGAAAAGAAATTTATCTTCCTGTTAGTGCTTCAAAAGATCACACAGATATGGTATAGAAAGGTACCAAAGCCTTCTAGTAACTCGGCACTGGCCACAGCCCAGGAGTGAAGTGTCATCAACCTAACAGTTTTAATTTAATTCATATACAGCAAAACCTGAAAACACTGATTTATCAAATACTCTGATCTCCAAGACAACTAGTGCAACAATTCTCACAATTTCTGAGAGAGATGACACCGAAGTGGGTGAGGTGATATCTTTTAATGGACCAACTTCTGTTGGTGAGAGAGACAAGCTTTCAAGTTTACACAGAGCTCTTCTTCAGGTCTGGAGATTTCTAATAATTTCTAGGTTAGTTTTCCTCAGGCAGGCTGCCATTTATGTAGGTTTGCCAGGCGTCTATTTTTCGACTGGAACATCCAGTCGAAAAGGGACCCTGGTGGCTCAGCAGTGCTGACTGGGCCACTAAAAGTCTGGTTGGCAGCACAGCAGGGCTGAGGCAGGCTCCCTGCCTGCCCTGGCTCCAAGCCAGCTCCCAGAAGTGGCTGGCATGTCTGGCTCCTAGGTGCAGGAGCTGCAGGGACAGCGCCTGTGGGCACGAGCAGCGCATAGGGCCTTCCCCCCCCCCAGCCCCTCTGCCTTGGAGCTGGACATGCTGGCTGCTTCCGGGAGCCACCTGAGGTAAGCACCACCCAGAGCCCACACCCCTCTTCTCTCCCCCAACCCCCTCCCACACCCAAACTCCCCCCACCCCCGGAGCCCGTACTCCACGCCCCCTCCTGCTCCCCAACTCCCTGCCCCAGCCCACACTCTGAACTCCCCAGCCCCAACCCCCTCCTGCACGCCAAACCCCTCATCACCGGCCCCACTCCAAAGCCCGCACCCTCAGCCGGAGCCCTCACCCCGTCCCGCACCCTATCCTCACCTCAGAGCCCCCTCCCATATCCTGACCCCTCATTTGTGGCCCCACCCCAGAGCTCGCAACCCCAGCAGGAGCCCTCATCCCCTCCCGCACCCCAACCCCCTGCCCCAGGCAAGTGAAGGTGGGGGAGAGCGAGCGACAGGGGGAGAGGGGGTGGAACAACCGGGAGTGGAGCCTCGGAGAAGGGGCGGGGCAGGAGTTGGGGCAAGGGTGTTCAGTTTTGTGCGATTAGAAAATTGGCAACTCTACATATGTGAGGAATTTCTCAATAAATCTTTTTCACATCTAATTTAACAGGGTCAAAGTCCATCTTATAAATAGCAAGTTACAGCTAACTGCATAGAAACTCCAACAGCTCATGATAATGTTCAGTATATTCACAGAAAAAAGGAGAGAGAAATTTTAATTTTTATGTTTTCACAGGGTATGAACCTATCACCTTTATAATATAAGGCAGATAGACACATCCTCCACTAGGCTACATCCATGGGAAATTACAGTGATTAAATTAGCAAGAGAACAGCTCACCTGATCAATGAGTGCAACAGAAACATATTGAGAATTACTAACATTAATAAAAATGGAACATAAGAGATAATGTTCAAACAAGGCGAGTTCCCCACTCCAATCCAGGATCTATCTGCTTGCAAAATTTCATTAAAATTAGACTTATTACTGTATATTAGTTTTACTTCAATCAAAAGTGGTGGTTCTGCAAGGTGCTGAGCATATCTCTGAATTGGAACTAAAATTAATTTTTCTGCTAAATGATTAAATGTAATTACGCATCAAAAATGTAGCGATCTATTGGACAAAGGGAAGAGATATAAACAGAATACACTCTTAACTAGATTTGAAGTCACTAGCTTTGAAATAGTCAATAAGCTACACCATAGCTGGCATCCATGGAAATTTTACGTATTATTTTCAGGAAAAATATATTGAAAATTGCAAGAAAAAATAAAGCAAATATGGGTTACAGCGTTCAGGCCATTCCCTAGTTCACAGCAAGACCTATATGCTTGCATGTATTACCTGATTTATGGGACAGACTAGCCCTGCAGGTGGCTAGAAAAATATATGTTTGCTCTTGCAGGGTTTTCTATGAGGCTTCCCCTTACAGGGAAATGGCCCTACAGAGTTACAGGGGCTGTGGAGGCACATGGAGAAAGGACTCCCTAGATCTACAGACCCAGGAGCCATCTCCATGGATGGCTACCCCACCCCCCCACCGGGCCTTCCACTCTGCTACCAGCTGCAGGGATCTCTCCCATGTCTCACTCTTTAGTAACATTAGGCTCTTAGTAAATATTCTCATTGTTATTTATAGCACTTTACAGTTTGAACACATGGACAAATGTTAGTCATTTGTCACAGCATCCGCATGAGGTAAGCAAGCATTACACTCATTTTTAAAGCATAAAAACATATCTTATGATTCATTCTCACACTACTTGTTTGCATCACAAGAATGCTACTATACCTATTTACAGACAGTGAAACCAACACAGAGACAAACATCCTGATCTTGTGCCCGTGCATACCCAAAACTACCAACAAAGCTGTTGGGATATCTGGGTGTGCCAGGAGCATAGGATAGGGACCTAACTGACGTGCTCAGAGCCGCACAGCAAGTCAATGACAGAACTAGGATTAGGAGACAGAGTTCCTAGTTCCTAGTCTCAGCCGACTAGAAAATACTGCTTTATTAGAGCAGTACTGACTGCGCCCCAGGTCCTAGATCAGGGCCCCATTGTGCTAGGTGCTGTACAAGCACAAAACAACAAAAAATGGTTCTTGTTTCTCCATCGCAATTTCTGATGTAAATATCTGAGGGCAGTTAATAAGTTTCACAAATTCAGCAGGTACCACTAAGTGAACCTGGCATCTTCCCACCACAATGCAATCATCTTCTAATATGATAAATCTATAGATACTCAGACTGAGGCCATGCTAAACCTTAGAAGTAATAGAACAAACTGATTTACCTGCAACCTTGAATCCTGTTTCATTTTTACT